GTCATATACAAGTAAAACTAATCAACTTATACACACATATTGGTTAGCTATAGTTTGTAAATATTAATCTTATACGGTTATACGGCAATTATACGCAATATACTTGATTAATTACAGTCATATGTAGTTAGTTATACATACAGTCATAAGTATTAGTGAATTACCAGCAGCTTCTAATGAATTACAACAAGTGAATTACAATAACTTCTAAATACGTTTCTCACAGCTAGTTTTATTAGTTATACGCAGCTTTTTACACCAACCAACTGTACAAAATTTCATTTCCCGTATCTACAGTTCGTCACAGCTACGGTCATAAACAATGACAGTGACACATAACGAGATAAAAAATTTAACAGATATATACTTACAACATATATATAAAGAATACAGCTAAAAACAACTACAAGTAATTAAGTTGTAACAAACCTATGTGTAAGCTTAATGATGGAAGTTTAAAGTGACCAAGAAGAAGCTGGTGACAACACTTATGATAGTTCTGATAATGATCTGACAGAGGGGTTAGGGTTACATACGAAGACAGATAATGATAGTGACGATTATGCGGACTGTCATGTGAGACTGTGATCGTGAATGGCGGATGCAGATTGACAACTACCAGAAGAAACGAAATCTTAATCGTCAAAGCTGTTTGCAGATTAGAAATGAAGGCACAAGTCGTCAACTGTCCGGAAAAACTTGAGAACAGTATCATTCCATGCAGCGGTTCTGCACATGACTATTTATTTCAATAAACCTACAGACTTCACTGCCTTTTTTCCTAAATTTGAAATGACCTCTTCAATCTTTGACAATAAAAGTAGGGACCGCTAAATCTGGTGAACTTCCAAATAACAGTCAGGCCAGGCTGCGGTCCAAAATGCGCTGTGTGTAAATGACGGGATTTTAGATTTTCAGTGAAAGAAAAATGGCAACAAGAAACGTACGATGTTTACCACAGTGCGAAATGCGAGTGAACGTTTATAACTCAATTCTAACTTAGCCTGTTTCTTAGATATAGCCCCCTCCAAAGTCGATGAAAATACTGAATAATCAGGAGCGCTATGAAACCATCAGATGCCTTCGGTGGTGCTTGATTCCAGATACACATCAGATGTCAACAATGAGCAAACGGCTCCATTTTATGAGTACAGTCATTTTTGAGTTCAACTGTCAGAACATTGCCAACGGAACCAGGTGGGGTGTAATGCAAAGTTGCAAAGACTATTACCATATGAGGAGCGCTTATGGTCGCACCATAACCGATACCCTGTGGCGAATCGTAGTACGGGTTCCTCAGCGAATAGTTTCCTCGATCGACGGCCAGCATAGCGTTTTCGACTCGATCCGACGTAATGATACCGTTTCCTATAAAACATAAACATACACCTATGTGTCATGTTTTAAACAACAACATCATGTCGCAACCCAGGCACACTCACGTTTCAGTGCCTGGACCATGTCCGTGTTGTTGACGCCGTGCGATATCCAAGCCATGCTGCACACTGCACGAAATGCGAGAAGACACACTACCTTTTGTATCACTAGCATAAGCAGTAAAACGAAACTCGGGATCCTAAATGATATTTTTTTATAAATAAAAACGAAACGCAGAATTACGCGTGATGTAAGCAACCATGGCGCAACCGTCGAAATGACGATGGGTAACGATTATCATTATGTATTCAGAAAAACAGTTTAATACCTTAATTCGGTAGGAACGCAGGAAAACAAAATAAATGCATAAAAATAAAATCTCACGGTTTCGCCCTTCAAACACGAGTATTCATCATACAGAATAATGTTGCAGATGGAAAACACAACTTCGTTAGTAGACGGTACAACTCATCAAACATCATGCATTCTCTCCAACTTCCCATGTAATGGAAGAGATAACCAGTGAGGTGCTGAATAAAGTTCTTGACGAATGTAACTTCTTTCCTTTATCAGCTCCAGTTGTATCCTATTCTGACCCCAAATAATGGGTGACGGAACGATGATCTAGCCTCTACAACTTTTCACCAAAGCCTCACCGGAAACCACTTTTAAATTCATAACCGAACAGCACGGTTACACATATTTTTAATTTACATTTCCACTTCGTGCTGGTTTTTAGTCCTGAATCAACTACGTTTTTCTGTACTTTCCAAAGCAACGACCTCAATTATTTGACCCACCCGTGGAGAACAGACGAGCTAATCACCGGCTTCCACGACAAAACAAAGTAGTGTAATTGTTTTCAATCTAACTGCCTGTAACAAACACAGAAAATGTCGATCTGAGGGAAGGAAAAATCACGACGAAGAGAGAATCGCCATAGCACAAACTACTTTGACCATATGGTCCATTCCATCATATGACCTTCAGGAAGGCAGCTTCGTGCGGAAGGCAAAAGGTTAAAAGAATGAAAATGAGTCAGCAGCAGCCTTCCATTCCGTCAGAGAAAAGAAGTGCTCGAGTTCGACTCTAAAGTAATTTAAAAACGTACAAAAGTGAAAAACCGGCGGAGAAAAGAGGCAAGCAAAACAACCATTCGTAATTTTTCGCTCATAAACTAAACTCAAGTCGTCTACCATCATAAATGACTCTGGCGTCGTCTATAGCTTCACAACAAAACTGCGACTATGCAGACATTTTTGACATTTATCAGCTTCATATTACTTGCCTACTGCGATGACGAAAGAAATATTATTTCAAGTTCGAAGGCGATACGAGTTTATTTTCTACAGCCACGTGAAATACCGATCACAGGATCTTCTTTCACATGCTATGATTTGGATTTCAAGACGTCTGAGTAAAACTGCCTGTGCTACCTCGGATATCAATCTGAGATTTGTTAATTGCCAAATTGAGACTATCATTACAAATCTTAAAACACAATATTGTTTCATACACATTTCAAATGTTGAACAGAACAGAAAGCCTCAAACATTGTATAGCGAGAATAATACCATAGAGAAATGCAACTTACCTCACAGACTAAAAAATTCCAACCAGGATCGAAGTCACTACAATACTTCGCTACTTCCCATTACCTTCGGGGGAAAAAATAAATAATACCTAAGAATCAATACGTCAATCATAATTTGCGGAGACGTTAATAAAT